TGTTTCTCAACCTTGGAGACTTGAAGTCCTGTGGACTTCAAGTCTCCAAGGTTGAGAAACACTGGTATAGGATGATGGCGATTGCAACTGCCATCATGTGGGAGGTCATGTGACATTCCTTCTGGCTTTAGAAGCTGTTTGATATCAGAAGGTGAAAACTCTGACAAAATTAGAATGTAGAACAGGGATATCAAACTCAAGGTCCACAGACCACATCAGGCCCATGGGGTGTTTAGATCTGGCCTGCCCAGTTGCCCTGGAAACAATGAAGGACCGGCCCACAGCAGGAGTGAAATTCAGCAGGTTATGACAGGTTCTGAACAGCCGGTAGCTGAAATTTTGAGTATTTTGGAGAACCAGCAAATACCACCTCTGGCAGGCCCCAGAGTGGGGTGGGAATGGAGATTTTGCAATAACCTTCCCCTAAAGTGGGGTGGGAATTGAGATTTTACAGTATCCTTCCCCTGCCATGTCCACCAAGCCACGCCTACAGAACCGGTAGTAAAACAATTTCAATTTCACCACTAGCCCATGGTGCCTCTGCCAGTGAAAATGGAGCTTGACACGGCCACATTTTCAGCTGTGACAGCATCCTGCAACCCTCTACCAGTAAAAACAGAGCCCAGGAAGGTTGCATGTGCCCCCCCCCCAGCTCCATTTTCACTGGCAGAGGGCTGCAGGAGGCTGGCGTGGCCAAACCCGAGCACGGGTGGGCCACATGCTGCCTCCACAGGCTCTGTTTTGGCTGGCAGAGGGCTGCAGGAGGCCATAATGGCTGAAAACGGAGCCTCAGTGTGTGATGTTGAGCTGGCCACACCCACCCTGGCCACACTCACCCCAGCCCTGCCCACCCCAATGGGCTCACAACCTTGATGCAGCCCTCAATGAAATCAAGTTTGACACTCCTGATGTAGAAAAAGGAGCAGTACTTTTACAAACTGCAAGGGCATTGTCCATTACTTCCCAGAAAAGGCACCAAATTGCTTCTGTTTTGTTTTACATTTCATAGTAAATGTTAGTAAATGTTATGTGACATACCTAAAATTTCCACAGAGGTGGCTGCAGCGATGACAGGCAAACATACAAACGCTAGTAGTAAAGTGGTCATGCTTTTCCTGAAATACAAACAGAGGATAGTGAATTAATATTTTTGGTAGGCTGAACAAAACAATCACCAAGGACTGTATAGCAGTCCATATCAAGCACACAGACAGAGAGCAATGGTTTATTACAATGGCACATTTAGGATTTCACCTCCTCTAGCTGGCAAGGAAGAAAAATACTCTGCATTTCAATATTTGGGATGCTCTGCCTATTCCAGTCAATACGGAATTTAAACGAAGAGGTGACAATGCTCAGCCTTCCAGATGTTGATGAGTTAGAATTTCCACATCCCTTACCATTGTTCAGACCAGCTGGAGTTGCTCAAAATTGGTGTTTAGTCACAGCTGGAAACTGGACATTGTCACCTCCTAATTAGCAGCTGCTAAGGTTTATTAAATCACGGTTTTCTGATGCATCTGAACAAGGAAATTGGCTTACACACAGCGCAAACTATACTTGCAGCAATTCTTCAGTGAATTGAAATGGCACTATAAAAACCCAGTACACCGAAATGTAGGAGCTCAGCTGGCTTCATATCCAGATATCTAATGAGGCACAAGTTGATATTAAAGTAGAATTGGCTTAAGAGCATAAGTGGAGAGGAATAGAAAGTGGGTCAAGCTGAGCCAGGCAATAAAGTGTACTTAATATACCAAGTCATACATTATTGGATTTCTAGGAAGGGCCGATAAAAAGATGCAGAAATCATCTTTCAAAATTCTCCAATTTAGTTCTGGTCGGATGGGGAATGAAGAAGGGAGAAAGGTAGAAGCAATTTCATGGAATCTTTTCAAAGACAAATGAAATTCTCCAAACATTTTACCATTAAGGTTTTTTTTTCCTGTCCAGCCTGTTATATCCATCACAATTGGTTTCTTGATAGCAATAGCACTTAGACTTATATACCATATCACAGTGCCCACTCTAAATGATTACAGAATCAGCCTATGGCCCCTAACAATCTGGGTCCTCATTTTACCGACTTGGAAGGATGAAGGGCTGAGTCCACCTTGAGCCTGGTGAGATTTAAACTGCCAAATTGCAGGTAGCCAGCAGTCAGCAGAAGTAGCCTGCAGTACCGCATTCTAACCACTGTGCCACCGCAGCAGGAAAACAAACAAATGGATTATAGAATAAACTAATCCTCAATTTAATCCAGCACAAATGACCAAGACTGAATTAGTCAAAGCAAGATGCATTATACAAAGATCTAACTTTCTAGGCTCTAATCTATAGTGCTGAGAAAGATGGAATGAAAATCAGGAAGAGGCCAAGTAGTCACAAGGTGGATTGGTGCACCAGTGGAAGGCTTGCAGGGTCAGTTTAGGGACAACATCCTGGAGAAGATCTATTTAGATGTCTTCTAGGATTCAACATCTAATTGATGGCACACAATCAATCACCAATCAACGCAGGCCCGTAGCTGGAATATCAAACTGAATGTACTGCTCTCCTGCTATATGTGGGTCTAGGACAACTCACCATGGCTAACACATTGGGACCAACTTGCCATAGTTAACTCAGCACAGAACAATTTGCCAATCTCGCTGCAGGACAAATTCAAATTCAAATTAAAAGCCTTTATTGTCATTGTACATCATGTATACAAGGAAACTGGTTTAGCCTCTACTGGTGCAGTCCATACAAGAATGCAAGACAACATGAATAACATACAGAACAATCCTTATACAAATAGTTAGGAAAACTACTTGCCATGGGATAATTCAAAACTGTATTGTTTCATTCAGTTACTTTTCTATTGGTGACCACATTTTCATTGAAATGATTGTAACTGTTGTATTTCTGGATGGTTCCACCACAAAACCGCGATGTCCTCATCCGCGCCGACATAAGTGCGGAGGCAAATCCGCGGCGTCTGAAGCGCTAAGAAAAAAACGACCCTACCGCCGCGATAACAGCGCGGTGACAAGGGCGTT